GCCTTAACTGTCTGTCACGCGATCTCAGCTTTTCGCGGCAGTATTGTCACACTATGGTTCCTGCAAAACCTCGCGTTCTCATCTACATTGTGCGTCGCGATGTTCGCCTCTCGGACAATCCGATCTTTCATAATGCTTCGCTGTCATCCTTGAGGCACAATACGACCCTAAACTCATCCAAGATCTCAGAGAAACTCAATAGAGCAGACTCCCCCGTTTCAGATGGTCACATTCACAATTTCACGCATCTCTTGCCGGTCTACGTCCTTCCAGCGAACCAGATTGAAGTTTCGGGTTTTGTCAGCTCTTCCGCGGACCGTTGCCCCTACCCCGAAGCCCGAAGCCAGGTGGCTGGGGTGTGGCGCACAGGACCACATCGCGCCAAGTTTCTAGCTGAAGGAGTTTGGAACCTCAAGGAAGCACTTGAAAGCCTAGGATGTGGATCAGGGTTAGAAGTCAGAGTCGGAATGATTGGAGATGTGGTGGAACACATGTTAGATTGGTATTCGGACACGACCAGTAATACAGGCGGGCAAAGATCAGATGTAGCAGGTATATGGATGACTGCCGAGGAAGGTAGCGAAGAGAAAGACGATGAGAAAGCAATCACCAGTATAGCAGAGGCAAGAGGGATCGAGTGCAAGATTTGGGATGACGAGAAGTACTATATTGATGAGTATGTTACCACCACAGCCAAATTGCACCCTTCCATGAAAGCTAATTCGTTACAGCCGCGATCAACCTTTTACTAATGCACGCGACCTACCTAATGTTTATACCTCGTACCGAAAGTCACTTGAGCCTCTCCGTGACCAACCACGGTCCACACTACCTACTCCAACACAACTTCCGCCACTTCCTCCCGACATCCCTCCCCAAAAGGAACCGTTTCGGATACCATCTACTTTGGCCGGACTGAAAGAGTCTCTCCTGGAGCCCTTGGAAAAAGACCTGAGCTACGGGTTGACATATCCCCCTCGCTGGCCCGAGGGCGCACAATCCGCACATGACCTCAAAGGAGGAGAGTCTGCTGCTCGAGAACGTCTTTCTCATCTAATATCAAGCGGGGCCATGAGCTCCTACAAAGCCACAAGAAACGGCATGCTCGGGATGGACTTTAGCACTAAGCTCTCAGCGTATCTAGCTCAGGGCCATGTGACTGCGCGGCAAGTCCACTGGGCCATGATAGACTTTGAGGAGGGCAGAGGCTCTGGTCAAGATGTTCATGATTATGGAAAAGGCGAGAACGTAGGCACTGCGGCGGTTAGGTTCGAGCTTCTGTGGCGAGACTACATGAGACTTTGTCTGAGGAAGTTTGGATCAAGAATGTTCAACGTTGATGGTATTCGCGACTATTCGACTCGACGGAAGTTACATTATGACGTCGACGTCCCTCAGAGCGAACAGCAAGGTCTGCCTAAGAAGAGGTGGAGGTACCTCGACAGAAGTAGCGGCCCTGGCGATGATCCCAAGAAAACACAAGAAATATTCGAACGATTCCGTAGTGGACGCACTGGAATGGGGCTCATTGATGCTTCGAACCGCGAATTATTTCTCACGGGATATACTTCGAACCGCGCAAGGCAAAACGTAGCCTCTTACGAATCATGTCATCTTGGACTCGACTGGCGTCTCGGAGCCGAATGGTACGAGTTTCTCCTCATTGATTACGATGTCGCCAATAACTGGGGTAACTGGCAATATGTCGCTGGCGTGGGCAACGACCCCAGACAAGGACGGGTGTTCAACCCCGTGAAACAGGCTCTTGACTACGATGGCCACGGAGAGTACATCAAAGCCTGGGTCCCCGAGCTCCGCGGCATCAAGCTGATGAAGACTGTGGGATCGAACAAAAAAGAGGAGTTGGATCAGCAGCGCCTCATGGGTGTCTATCAGGCTTGGAGGTTGGGTGAATGGGAGAAAGGGGAGCTGGGACTCAAGGGTCTTGAGTGGGTTGAGCACCCGCTCGTTAAGATACCATTTGCCGTTGGCAAAGGAAGAGGTGGTGGTAGTGGAGGCGGGGGCGGAGGAGGAGGCGGAGGAGGAGACAGGAGAGGAAAGGGTAAGTCAAGAGGCGGCGGAGGCGGCCCATGGAGAGGTGGAGGAGGCTCCCGGGGTTTCCGAAGGATGGGTATCGAGGAGAAGGCGTGAAGTGGGCAGAACTTGCCGGGCGAGGCTAGATGAGCACGCTTTTTCTTATATGACCCGTTTCTATGCGGCGAGTCACTAATGCGTGCTATCTCAATCCATGGTTCTCTACTAAAGCCCGCTCTCTGATTGCATTAGCCACATCGTGCAGAGCTTAACAATGCTGCTCGATGTTTCCGCCGGACCGGTCACACAAAGAAGAGTGAGACAAAACATTGTTCAAGACATGTAGTTTTCGCATTTACACAACACACATATCTTATATAACCACCACCTAGCTCCCTCCCGAACTATCCCTCCAGACTCTTCAATGTGCCGTGTAACAATTACGCCCCTCCACAAAACTCACGCACACACCCCTGAAGAATACCCCCATCCCCGAAAAGCAACCGCTCCATCAGCCATGGAGGCCAACAAAACCGCCCCCATCCCCTCAGGCGTCTACCTCTCCTCTGTCTCCACCACGCTCCTCAACCTCGCACCCCCATCCACACCCCCCTCATCCACCTCATCCTCATCCCCATCCTCCACCTCATCCCTCGCTTTACCATCCCCACCAACCCAAACCCAGCCCTTCACCGACCACTACGCCATCCTCGCCCTTTCCATCTCGGCCACCACCGAGGACATCAAGACGGCGTTCCGCCGCCTGCGCGCCGACTTCTTCCGCACCGACCTGGCCAAGTACCGCGCGCTGCAGGCCGCGTACGATGTCCTGGTTGATCGCGAGGCGCGCGAGGCGTATGATGCCATGTGTCGGAAACGCATGGGGCTGCCGGGGGTGAAGCTGAAGGGCAGGGTTAGGGGGCTGGTGGAGAGGGTGCAGGGCGGGCTGGAGAAGGTAAGGGAGGAGAAGATGCGGGAGGAGAAGGAGAGGGAGGAGAAACTTCGCGAAGAGAAACTTCGTGAAGAGAAACTTCGTGAGGAAAAGCTCCGGGAAGAGAAACTTCGTGAAGCGAAACTCCTCGCCGAACAACTCCTCGCCGAGCAAAAACGCGCCGACCCCAACTGGGCGCTCAAGCACTCAACGCCGGTGTACAAGCCCCTGATCGGCACTCGCCCCTATCAGAGCTACGTGCCTATTGGCGTGGCGTATGAAGGGAGGATTGTGCATCTCCGGTGGAAGTGCGGGAGGCCGAAGTATGTGTTGAGCAAGGCGAGGGGGGCGAGGCCTTGAGAATTTTAAGGCTTAGCTGGATGTTGTTTTACAGAGCTGAGCTGGATTGAGCTATTCGCACTAAGAGTGTTTTGAGAGGTAGTGGCGTGGTCGGGTAGAATAAATACCTTGCTGAAGCTGTATATCCGTGGTAGGAAGGAGAATTGAAATTTTTTAAGGAGAACACGATTTGAGTGATTTGAGTGCTTTGACAGGGTTGCGTAGCGCTACAATACGTCATCGAGAAGTGAATGTGAGTGTGTGTCTTGTGTCTGAGGAGTGTGAGCGGTCAATGAGCCGTAACGGCCATGATGCTGTTTCTCGTTATTCAACATCACATAGACCAGACCAAGGTCCAACCATCAGTAACGCACACCTTCCCCACACACCCCACCTATCCTTCCACCTCCCTCAGAAACCCCGAAATAGCCTCCCACCCCACCCCCCTTCTCATCCCCGTCTCCTCATCCCAACTCGAATGCAACGCCACAAGCCCCCACTCCTCCCCCTCCCCATTCCTACCTCTCGCCACAAGCGGCCCCCCCGAATGCCCCCAGTACGTCCAGCAATCATGTTTCAGCGCCCCGATCTCGCTGTTATCCTGCCTATCCTGGCCCTTTGCGTACCCGCAGAACTTGCCGTCGCTGACATGCAAGACGTCGTAGCCGGTCTCGACGCCCGGACGTCCGATTTCCAGGTCTTCGGAGCCGGGGTGGCCGATGCACAGGAGAGGCGTGCGGAGAGGTGGGGGGGCTGGGGCGAGGGGCACGCATGGGAAGGGGGACTGCTGTGTGGGAGTCGTGTGTGCGGTTGCAGGTAATGGCGGCTGGGCGGCCATGATCTGGAGAAGCGCAAGGTCGCGTCTGGCATCCCACTTGACGGTCCTAGCTTGCACGATGCGGCCGCTGGCAAATAGCAACCACCAGACTTTCCCCATGTCGAGCGCCTCGTCGGATTCGGCGATGCAGTGAGAGCATGTCAACAGCAGGCCCTCGCTCGATATGCACACTGCCGTTCCCTGATAACTCACGTCAATCTACAGCTTTTACAACCCGCACAAAGGGGCTCACCGCTTCCACCTGCGCAAACACCAATGTAGCGTCTACGGCATTCTTCAGCCCACCATATGCCTCAGAATTAGGGTCACAGAACTCCTGGAGTTGGTGTGTCTGCGAATCCGGACTCTTGAGGCGCTGCTGTTTGTACTGCAGGAGCTTGATGCTTTTCTTGTTGAGTCCCGGTAGCGTGGATGGTAGTTTTGTTGGCAGCAAAGCGATAGAGCAACAGGCTTGGGTATTTTCCAACTTCGAAGCAGACGGGGTACCAGTTTCTTTCTGAGGCGAGTCGGAAATTGGTATCGGGTTTAGAGAAGATCCGCCTACCGGTGTCATGATCCGTTGTCGAGCAGAGCGCCGCAACGGCGGCGCATGAGTCTCGTCCAGACTTGTTTTCATCACCTTGGGGGATACGCTATTATGATCTATGCCAGCTCTTGGAAAAGAATTATTCCCTAGAGTATTTGTATTACTAGACGACCAAGGTGAGGTGTGCAAGGCAACCGTGATTGGGGCCGGTGCGCCTGGGCACCCGCCGACACACGTGACATAGTCTCACCCGCTAACGCCCACCCCAACCAAGAAGAGTAAAGACAAAAGGCAAAAAAGTACAAATAGGCGGTAAAGCCGACGCAAAAAATTGACTCGACTGCGGTTCGATCGCAGGACCTTCAGTGAACTAACTGGTGTGTTAGACTGACGTGATAACCAACTACACCATCGAGCCCGGACAAACACTTTGATTGTGATATTGAATCAGAAATCTGAGGTTCCAAAGATATATAACCTACAGAAGAAACCATTCCTTTAGACCAGCAAGTAAAAGAGATAGGTAGTAGTTAATAAGAGCGGTGTAGACGTGCACGTAGTGGATCCACAGGCAAAATTTGCGGAAGCGAAATGTGCGGACTAGACATGTCACATAGCTACGTATTCACACAAGAGCCCGAGCCCGTGAGCCTTGCAAGATCAGGCTTGAGCAAGATAGTATCAAGCTAATCAACAAGTATCGTAGTACAAAGAATAAGCACCTGCTTTTTCCTACCGAAAACCCGTCGGTAAGCCATGAACTGAACAAAAGGGGGAATACAATGCCGCTGAGCACCCGGCAGAATGAGACTACCTCAGAAACGCCTTGATGTCGAGTCGACTGGACATACTTATGCCTATCGATACCCACTGATATAGGGGGTTGTAACGCCGATGTTGATGCTTGAACGCCGTGGACTAAGCCGATGGACCACAACTCCGAAAACCGTTCGACGCCGCTCATCTCGAGTCCTACCTTGCTTCCTGCGCAGAAAGTGGCTCTGCACTGGGTGGTGCAGAACCGTTCTCAACCTTGTTCATTGAAAGTTTCAGTTTCTTTGGCCTAGGCGCGCCATCTGGCTCCGTTGCATCGTCTCGGCCCCTTTTCCCGTCGGGCTTCTCTGAGCCGTCCCTAGCCTTGCGATCTACATCCTTCGACTGAACGATGTTCTTCATCTTGATCTTCAACGGCCCACCCTCCTTTCCTGCTTTCTCCCGGTCAGCTTTCTTCACGTACGAGCTTTTCTTCTTTTTCTTGCGCTCAGGGGTATCATTATCGCCTTCATCATCCTCGTCCGCAGTCCTCTTGATCGGGCTGATACCCTTGGCTTTTGATTTTGGAAGCGACACATTGTCTTGTGAGCCCGGCGCTGGCGTGCCCATACGGCTCCCAAGCGGTGTGTTAGCCATGCCTGTACCAGTGCCGTTCCCATTCTGCCCTGTGAGCTTCGCCATGGCGTTCCGTGAGCTCTGTCGCCCACTAATGCCTAGACACTTTTCAAGATGCTGTGCAAAGCGCGTAATGAGCAGACTCCGCTTGCAGCTTGGACATGTGTGCCATGGGATGTACGAGGCCGGCTTGCCACCCGTGTTGAGCTTGTTAATTTCCTTCCCTTGTGCCTCCCCGCCGGCCATATCTGTGTCCTGCGAGCCCGGTGTGCCCACGCTCTCCTTCTCGGCGTTCTTTTGCTGCTGCTTTATCAGCTCTCGTTCCTTCTTGCTCTTAGCCATGTCGGTGGGAAACGGATTGCCGTAGACGTCGTGGCCCGATCTCTGCACCCACGGATACAGCATGCAATACTCCTTGGTGAGGTCGGGATTCTGCATGCCCTTGCCCATGATGGGGTGCATGAGCCGGGGCAGCTTGCAGTGCGGACATGTGATCTCTGGCGTCGTCTTGAGCGGGTTGCCCCTGAGGAACACGCGCCCGTTCTCGTACTTTGCGGCGCCCGTGTCGGCGGTCGGTATCGACGGCTGGTTGGTGTACCCCTTGGCCTGCGACTGCGGCTCGACGCTGGAGAGGGCGAGGGATTCGGCTCGCGTCGCGGCGGATTGCATGCGGAGCAGCTTTTCAGCGCGGTGGCATGACAGTGCGGTGCTGTGGATGATGTTTGCGACTGTGTCCTCGAGGAGCTGTTGCGTCTGCAGGCAGCGCACATGTTTAGCAATGGCATCTCGGAGCGAGGAGTGCTGGGCAGGCCTACCAGATCGGCCAGCGCATCGGGCGACAGCATGACGGCAGACTCGACGCCCTCGTCCGGGTCGTCGGCGGCTCTGTCGTCAGCCATGCTGGAGCGGCCGTCGTGCGTCGTCTGCGGATCCCGAGAGGTGCGTGGCAGAAGTGCACCGCCGGCCGCGCCTGAGACGTTGGCAGATTGAAGTGGTTTAGCCACGGAGATAATGAGCGCGGCTTCCCGACACCACCGCTAGCGGCCGCCACCCCCAGCCACAGTGCCACCCCCAGCTCAGCCCTACACGTCCGCCCCCAGCATCACGTCCATGGTCCATGGAGATCCCCTCGATAGGCAAGCATTAGAGATGTTCTATACTATTGAATTTATGCTGCCTCTACAACGGGCTGTCTCTCTCTATATGACCTCCCACCTTGCAAGCCGCCCTATCGTGAGTCCAGCTTCACGCACGATGCACACGCGACCATCTTCTGGCACGCCTTTGCCTTCGCATTCCGCCTGTGCACCTAAAAGTCGATGTAGAGCTACGTTTGCGATGGCCGTCGGCTGGCCCTCTGCGAGGTTGTAGTTGCCCGTCGTCGCGAACCCAATCAGATCCTCCTCACCAGGCGCCAGTGGATAGGCGTCATCGCCAGCTTTGAGCATGTCGTCTGCCAAGTCCGTCGGATTCAGGAGGTTCTGGGCCAAGTGTCTTCTCTGTATATGCTCCGGTGCATCCCTGTTATTCGTACGCTGCCTTTTCGCACTGGGCCGCCCATGCGTAGAGGCTAAGCTTGACAGTAAGGACATCCACTTGCCTCGCAGTTCAGGATTACTACTTGGAAGCCGGTAGATGCGAGCGCAGGTCGCAGGTGTCCCTCGCCCTATCATGGTAATTTTCACTGTGAACAGATGCGGTAAGGCCAGATGATCCTTGAACGCAGCACGGCCGGCTGTTAGGCCAAAGGCGTCCTTCGAGGATAGTTGTCGGAATGGAGTCCTAGAGGAGCTGGTTTCTTCCGTGGAGCTTTTCTCTCCGAGACCACTGATTGGAAGAAGTCGTTCCCAATCACAAGCCCACGGATCCCCAATCTCACCTTTTCGACCACCTCCAAGGTCGATGGTTGCCCATTCGACTCGTTTCCCCTTCGGTCGCTTCGTCCACTCTGTCTTTCTCTCAACACGCATCTGCAGTTCCCATCCCCAACCTGCGTCAGTGCCCGGGAAGTCAAAGGGGAAGCAAGGCTTCGACTGTTCAAAGCCAACCTGTCGTCTCTCCTTGAGGCATCCGAATCGCGGGTTGCCGCCTGACGAGACCGGATAACGCAGAATACCTCGCCAGACCGGCATTACACACTTCCACGGCAGAATTACAGTCCACGACCTGTGTTTCCTTGACACGTAAGTGAGTATGGGAATCTCAGGGTCGGTAGGTCGAGCATCTGGATATTTGCCTGGTATTGCAGCACTCTTGCGTGAATTAATGGATTTCTGGGACGACAAGGCACTCCCTGCAGCGAGTCGGGAGTCACGTTTGAATATTGCTGGAGCAGTCTGAGTTCGGTCAACAGGCCAGTCTGCAAGTATCTCGATCAGCTGCGATTGGGACGCAGCATCATCCCGCAGAGTTATCGACTTTGGTGGGTCCCGCAAACGTGGATCCGATATGCAGAATCCTAAGAGAGAACTTGCCGGGAGAACTCCCGGATTGGTAACAGTTGCAAGTTTGCCCCATATGGATCCAGGGGATTCTGTCGACTGTTCCTTTGGGGGACTTGGATGCAGGACAGAACAGAGGGTCTCCGCTGCTGAAGGTCCCACCAACTCAATGGATCCAATTTCAAAGCGCAAGTCTTCAACCGTAACAGCTGGTTTCTGAACCTTTGATATTCGGATAACCTCGTTCCATAGTTGGAGAAATGCGCTCGGATGCACCCGAATGAATAACTTTCTCTTATTGCTGCTCAGCGCTTCTCTTGTGCACCATATCACAGTGACTTCAGCAATTTTGCTAGGCAGCTTGCCTTCCCGCTCATATATCCATCCATCCCAAGCTCTCATGCCGTCTACCCACTTTTTTCCCCTTCCCCTTGCTTGCCACGGGTCCTCTTCGTCCTCTGCAGCAAAATGAAGCCCCTTCAGTAGTCCTAGAATGCTTGCTTCGGCGCCCTCGAGACCGATTGTAGCCATGTAGCTCATGTCCCAGGCCACAGCTCCCCGGAGAGTGGCAGCTCGATGTGTATGACGGTACGCTTTGGCAACAGGCGCTAGTGGAATTGCAAATCGCCAAAGTGGTTCCTTCGGAAGTGTCATTCTTGCACGCTTTGTATGCCATATATGTGTCGGAAGCCAAGTCTTGTGCACCTGACGCCTGCGAAACCGAGATGGTGGCGTGTCGGGAGTGGCCAATGCTACCAATCTCTTAGATTTTGGCTTGGGGGCGGCCGGATGTTTGGAGCGCTCTTTCGAGGCCTGCTCTCGTGTTTCGGGCTGATTTGTAACAGCGTTATCGTCCTTCGTTGTCCGTTTTTGGCCCCGCTTCTCTTTCGCCCTTTTACTCTTCTCTATGCCTTCTCTCCGTAGCCACTGTGTTTTTCCTTTGCCAATCCCGCTTCCGCTCTTCCCCTTTGATATAGGTGTGTTGTCCTCCAGTGCTTCGACTTTTGCCCGTCGTTTAATCCTCTTTGGCACGCGTTGTGGATTGTGACTCGCGGTTCGCCGTCGCATGTCTCTCGGGACTTCTTGGAATGCTCGCCTTGCCAGTCCCTTCTTCGCGGCTCTCATGGCATTTTCCATTGACTTGATTTCGTTCTCATGGGCGCGCATGAACTTCTTCGTATCGATCTCCCCACTAGGATACGCGGTAGACATGGCGGCCGAGTGGATGTTATGCTGCGGTTTCGAGAATCGCGAGCGCTTCGATGCCGGTGCACCTTCCGCCCCTTCTTTGCGCTTTTTCGGATTATCTGCCATAGGAGGCAGGTTATGGTGGCAGCGGCGTGGTGAGACTCGACTCATCAGACCGAAAACTTTGGTGGAGCAAAATCTCGGTCTTTCCCCACGAAGGCTTAGCGTCATTCACGAACGCACGTGCGCGTCGCGCGGCGCCGACGGACGGCCCGAGCAACTTGAGCTGACCGAGTTCCATCACTCGCACGCGTATATACCGTTTCTTGATTAGTTTGCCTCCCTCGTCCTATGCTGCGCTTGAACTAATGCCGTGCTCTCACATGTGAACAAAGCTACT